CATCGCCAAATTCCTTAGCATCTTCTGTGTCTTCTAATGGGGCCATTTCCAGCCCATCACTCTCTGCCATGCTCCGTCATCCATCTTCCATTAAGAAAGACCTAACTTACGATTACACAGGCAGCGGCTATTTCAGCATAGATCCTATGGCCTTACATGGTAATAATACAACAGCTTTTTCGAAAGGTGTGGAAATAAAGTCAGAACCTATGGATAATTTCTTGCATGGCTCACATGATAGAATTATTATGGCCTTACCAGTCAAGAATGAGATGTCAGAACAACACAGAGGCAGCCAGTTAATTATTGATGATGATGATAGTTCTTCGAAAAATCTGGTAATGGAAATAAGATGAAGGCACTCTGAGTGTTTGACAAATAATGTGTAGTTTGCTGCCGTTTGAGAATTCAGTAATACTTTCTATTTTAATAATTATAAAAAGTTTTTTAAAAAAGTAGTAATTTTGTTAATTGCATATCATACATTTATATATTTTAATTATTATATAAATCAAATGCTTGCGACACTCATTTTGTTCACAATTGTATAAAAACTTTATATACATATTAATACAGCTAGTAGCACTAGATATAATGGCATTAGAACTTGGATTTGTTGTAATTATGGCTTGGCATCAAGAGAGGTGCCTTAGTGGACATGCATTATTGTGCTGGGTGTGTTAATGTTGACTTCCTTATTTCTCTAGCCAGGGTTTTCTGTGTGATGCTTTTTACATGAACTTGTTTACCTCATGCTACTCGGGTGAAACTCAACACTTTGTATTTACAAAAAAAATGAAAATATTTATTCTTTAAGAAATACATTATTCTCTTTCCAAGGCATCTATTGTAAATATATCTCTATTACGATGCATGCTTCAAGTCCTGTCCTTATGGATAGATTATTGATTTGCTAATTTACTAATTAATTAGACTAGTACTAACTTTTAAACAAAATTTCTTTGATTGATGATTTCATTTGAGTGAGTAAGTGCAAGCTGAGGAAGTTTTGGACTATTTGGAAAGCAAATTTTTCTTCATTCCTTGACTTTGCTTTTGATAATCATTTTCTCTGGACGTCGTTCTTTTTTTTTTTTTTGGACACTTGGTGATTGTTTGATTCTCTGTCCACCCAGATTTTTGTGTTTTCTATGCTTATAAATGTATCATTTCATATATATTTTAAGTTTTATCTGTAGTGATTGACTCCATTTTAATTTGATCATGCCTATCTAATTCTGAAATAGTTCAATATTAAGACAACCAGAACTGCCTTTAGATCCAATCCTTTGTGTGTGTGTTCTCTTAAGCAGTGTATTTCTCTTCTGCCTTCTGTTTAGTTGTAAACATAATGTTAAAACATCAATAGAAGTCAGAAGGGTTAAATCACAAGCAAATAAAAGCTGTGAATCTATCATTTTATGTGATGTGCTGACTAGCAATAGAGATAGAGGAGTACAGATGTATTTCTGGATCTTCATTTAACGCAGCTTATTGTCTACCACAACACGAAATTCCTGGGTTTTTTTTTTTTGAGTTTCTCTATAGCAGGATATCATTATACCAGCAATAATAGGTGCGCAAGGGGATTTTAACATTTTATCAGAGAGTCTGTTGTTTACTTGTAAATTGTCAGGGCTTGTAAAAACTTATACATAACAAAAGCTTGCAGTCTCAATCCTCTGTAAGTGATACTTTCTTTTCTGTGATTTTTATTGTTGAAAGCATTTATTATCTGAATTGGCCAGTTAAAGAAACCCACACATTGGATGTAACACAAATGGCAAATGTAAATTATGTATGATTATGGAGTGGTGAAGTATCAGTATGATGACATATATATAAATTATATATACTTCTCTATACATTTGTATATATTACTAGAGATCATTTGCGTCTGTTACTGTAGTATAATTTCCACCAGAGTGTATTCAGTCTGAAACTTGAAGAATGCAAATTAGTCCTTTGCATTGTATAGTTGACATATTGAATATACTGAGCACTTTAATAAGTTTTATTTTTAATATTCCTGTCTAAATAAAATATAGGTAAATATATATATATATTTGCAATTTTTTAGAGTTCATTAAATGAATATGTTTAAAACAAAGTCCACTAAGTAATTACATAGGTAGCCATACAACCACAAAAAAAACAAACAAACTAAGTAATTACATAGGTAGCCATACAACCACAAAAAAAAACATAAACTACCTAATGGTGTATCTCAGCATTGGAATCACAATTTTTATCTTAACTATGATCATTGGTGATCAAGTACATTAGTTTAGTCTGTCAACTTGTTTGTGTAACATGCCTTGTACATGGTATGTAATTGTGTAACGAAACTGCAAAATTCATGCCAACTCTGTGCATTTTGCTGCTTCTGTTCCATCAAGAAGTATTTTTTTTTTATCATCAACATTTTTTTTTTTTTTTTTTGGAGGGGGAGGGGTACAAGAATGAGCACTAACCTAAACTTTCTAAACCGCTAAAATGGATTGTGATTGTGTTAGGTTTAAACTTATCAAACATTCCTACTTGAAATATATTGTGTATATTTGTGCTGCAATGTAGAGGTACCACAAACAGTTTAGCTCATTAGATTGGCTCTTTGCCTCCCCCCTGGCATGATGAAAAAAAAAGAGTGTGTTAAACAAATGTTTTGTGATCTCGATGTTTTACTAGCATTTACATCAAGTGATCACATCCACTTCCTCAGGAACCACCAGGTTTTGAAGAGCCCTTGAATTATTGTATTCCTAGGCTGCAGGCAAAAACAGTGAAAAAAGGAAAACATTCATTTTTGTTGTTCCCATTATTTCACTGGAAAAACAAACAACAAACAAACCCATCTTAGAAATGAAAAATCTTAACAGCAGTAAAAACGAAATTCCTCCTAAAATATTTCAGTAATCCAGTAAATAAATTGCCTCGATTAAAAAGCAGACAATGGTCTCATTTCTTTGTCTATACATGTCAATCAATAATGACAACACTAGGTACAATAGTTTTAATGATAGAAAATAGTCAATTAAATATTGGACAGAGCTGTCCATTACTTTGCCTAATTTGATTCACCTATATTCTCTCATTAAAACAAAAATACCTAGTGCTACCATTATTGATAGGTAATATGTTTACATCATTCATTGTTTCAGCACTTTTTCTATTTTCCTAGGGCAACAGGTATTGATAAATCTTTTAAAGATCAGAGGCTTCTGCCTCAATGAATATATGACATTGCTAATTATAAGGCTGAATCTTTCTACAACTTATGTGTGTACTTTGCCAGAATATCTTGTGAGAAGAATGTTGTGCATTGTAAAGACATTGAACATATGATAGCAAATTTGTTCTTCCTGTGTCAGGTTTTATTCATTCCTTTATTTTCTGTTATTGTATGTCATACTGCTTGTACCTTAGGTTGAATATTTGAGTAGGGAAAGAGAGACTAGAGACAGTTATGAATGTGATAAATACACTTGACTTGACCATCTTTTTATTCTCTGTTCATTGGCACATTTCATCATTATTGCTCAAAGCTAATTCTCTTTTTGGTTCTCTAATTCTTTGCTTTCATTATTTTGGTAAATGAAGTGTAGAAGACTGTGTTCTGACAGCTAGAGGTAAATTCATGTGTGCATTAATCTAGTTACAATTGTTTAGAAAATATAACTATTTTTGTTTAAATATAGAACGTATTTATAACTATTTTGTTAAAATTTAGAAAATATAACTTTTTTTTTTTTACTTAGACAGTTGTCTCACTTTAAAGTAAATTTTTTTTTTTTTCATAAAAATGATAAAATTTAAACAAATTAGTTATTTCTTCTCATCAGTACATTCAGTAGAATTCATTATCTTCAATAATTAAGTGAAATGCTTAGTTCTTTTCAAATAAATCAGAACCAAACAACAATACCCATACTTCAGTTTAGTATTGCACTAGAAATGGAAAAGAAAAATTCCCTTTTTTTTGGTGTTTATTTTATTTATTTATTTATTTTTTAAGAGTGAAAAAAATAATCCTTTAAAATCTCAAAAATTTATGGCATAAAGCACTAAATGAAATCAAAACTAATAATTACAGAAAATAATTAGGTTGCTGGTAATAGAATCAATTCAGTTGTCATGGCCAAAGTTTATGACAAACCTTAATGAAGATTGCTTTTGCAATTTTAGCTTCTAAGAATTGCTTAAGAATCCTTATAACAGAACTGGTCACAAGACTTGTGGCAGACTCTGTGTAAAAAGACATTGTTTGTGACCTTCCACCTGGCTGTTTCTTTTTGTTTTGTTTTCGCTTTCTTTACTTAAACATTACATTTGTATTCTTTTCACATGTCCTACAATTGTCAACATCATATCAATACAATGTTTCCTTGTTTGATGTTCTTTTAAACTGCTCTAGCTTCAACTACATTATTCATTTTGAAGTTTAAAAAAATAAATATATATATATCTAACAAGAAATTGTAACAAAGCAAAAACACATGCAACAAGTTTCTTTTCAATTGTTAAATTATCCTTGTAAACTATTTAATATGATTAAATGTATTTATACGTATATTTTATATGTAAAACATTGTAATAACTTGGGCATTATTTCGACACAATTATGTAAGTTTTGAAATATAAATAATATATAAATATAATAATAAATAATATGTGTAGTTAATTTTTCTGTAATTTTATATTTTAGTAAGTAGTTTAAAACTGCATATAATACTGTCATGCTTTGTATTGCCACAATTTAACAATGTAATGTTTTGTAAAGGACTGCAAGACTGTCAATACCTAAATGACCTGTTCCATGCACAACCGTCTTACTTTTTCAATACCTTTTAATCAGATTTTTATTTCAACTTGGCGTGTGACAAGTTGGTGTATTATTTAGAAGTGTGAAACTAGTGAGACTTCAAATTGAAGTTAAGCCGTGTTGTTATTGATCCTGATTGATGCTCAGACAGGAGCATGGAAGTAAAAGTTATAACTCTAAACTAGTTATTAGAACATTAAGATACAATAGATAATAGTTTCATTCATGAAGTTTTGTTTTTTTTTAAATGTATTTTATTGATAGAATTTAGTAAACTTCAACACAACTATATACTTCTATACATACCTTTTTTTTATCTGTATCCTTAGAAATGGTACAATAGTCTCACTTATTATTTAAAATTGTTTGAAATTTTAAAATGAGTTTGGCACCAACTTTCATTTTGTACTGTGTTGACTGGGTTTATTGAATTGAAAGGATTGAAAAGTTGTGTGATGTAATTATATTGTGATCGACCAGCTAGTTTTAGATGTATACAAGGACAGAGCAAATAGAATTGTGTAACAAGATATTGTTGTGAGGCTGCTTTGACTTGGTCAGTGACAAATTTTGATGTGGTCTGTAGCAGTTTTGACATGACAGGTTTGAACATGTTCTATGTGAAATGTGGACTTTGATCTGTTATGGAAAGAAAGATTTTGAGCAAACTTTTGTATGTGTACTAATGTAGTATACATAGATTTCATTTCTCAGAACTGGGCATTATTTTCCACATTTATTCTAGTTAACATTTTCATACTTCTTTGCTTAATCTATCTCAGAGAAATATTTGTTTGTCCTGTTGAATGATGTAAATATCCTGAAGAGTTAAAAAAATTTTTTTTTTTTTAAATTCAGTTGCAATAGTTGCGTCTTGTCATTTCATTAATTAGTGGTTATTAATTAAGAAAGTTGTTTTTGTGTGTGTGTAGATCCACTTATAATTTCTGCTCATCCAACATGTTTTAAATTATTTACTTGTAATGTTAGGAGCAATAACATGGGCTTAACTTGTGCAGCACCAAACAGTAAGCAAGGCTCAAAATGTACTTAGCCTGACAAGAAAAGATAGGGGTTACCAGATTAATTGGGAGGGTTTGTGGTGACAGATTATTTGCATTTTCATTGTTTTCAATGAAATATAAAGGGGGCTATTGAAACTAGTGATTGACCTTTGAATGGAAGAAATGGACAAAAATAGTTTTTATAATCTTGATTGATCCCCTATTTTGTTAACATTGAAGGAGAAAAACTGTAGTTTCTAAAGGTTTTTTGAATGCACATTTTCTATGGATGTTGTCTATTCTAGTATTTAGTTCAGATCTCAGGTATAAACTATTTAAAAGCCAACATCTATTATTTAAAAGTGACAACTTACACTACTATGTATAATCTTGTTACTATTGCTATTGTCAACTGTGTTACTATATGCATGTAGTCATACAATCTATAAACCATATTTAGAATATAACAACAAACTACTCTCCCTGTCGGTCACTTTTATTCATAACTATGATCTCATGTCTTATTTCTTGATCATATTTTGTCAGCTGATTCTATTGTGTGATATTTTTCTTCAGATACTTGATTAAAATGATTTAAATTTGAGAACTGTTTGTTTTATTTCTACTTGTTAGAGTTAAGTGCTATTATACATTAATATTTATTTCTAGAGCAGTGATTTCCAAGTGACTGATATTTGGGAGTCCACCCAGCTCTAATAGGTACCTGACAATAGTTGGGGACAAGTAAATGTGGTTGGTCGTTGTGCTGGCTACATGACACCCTCGTTAACCATGGACCACAGAAACAGATGACCTTTACATCATCTGTCCTATAGATTGAAAGGTGGAATTTAACTTTTTCTTTAATGGAACACTTTGCACATTCTGAGTATTTAGCAGAACAGTTTGAGATGGATAGCAACCAATGCCTAGGAGACCATAACATCAAAGTGTAGATTCAGAGAAAAGGCATTATTAATGAGTATTATATGACAATGAAATGGAATTTTCCCATGTGAATCCCTATTTAGATTGAACTGTTAAGTGAGATTATAATGATCTGATCATATGATATGCACTCTGGACCTAGTTTTCAACCCTGCTGTCCTGCAGAAGATATGGGTTAGGACATAGTAATCTTCACTTGTGAAGGAACATCTGAAAAGTAAAACACCAACCTTATTTCTTATTTTGAAGAGATAAAAAAAGGGACAAGATTTTCAAGCCGAAAACTGAATAGAAAAATATTTAGACCTTTTATTATGACATTTATTAAATAAGCTCTACAACTAAAATATAATTCTGGGTATACCATGTGATACTGTAAATAATAGAACAAAATACAATAATAATAATAAATATATATATATACAACATATAATTAAGATGTCCATCTCACTTATGGCTTAGTTTTTCTATGGTAAAGCAGTTGTACTCGAGGAAATCAAATCTTAATGAGATTATTTAAAGTCAGCAAAGCCTTCTGTGATATAGTGTACACCACAAAAGTTTGGATCTGGCTAAAAAATTTAAAGTAAGTTTTATACATTTTATTTTTACCAACAATAATTTGTTTATAAATTGGTCCTACAACCGCTGAAAAATTATCCCATGTAAAATTAAAATGTAGCAAAATAAATATAAAATAGAATATCACAATATCTTTTAGAAACATTTTCATTAAGAAAACTGAAGTACAAATCAAGTTTCAAAATTTTGAAATAATACAGTGATATTAAACAAATATATTTTTTACAAAAAAATTTTTTTACAACTGAAACAATTAATTCAAAATGTATGCGTGCTTACAGTAAACATTGTATAACACCAAATATATAAATTAGTTACTTTGGTAGAATTAAAAAAAAACAAATTATCTAGTACAAATTATCTACAAATCATATTTTTGGCTTTAATCATAAATTGAAAATGATTTACCCCACATTTTATGGTAGTGAAATTTCATACACATAATAAATAAACATTTGTAAATATTGAAATAAAAAAATTACATTAAACACAACTTTATTCTGTAATGGTTCTATATCATTAATCAAATATATCACAGCCAGTGGGCCACACATGTTGAACACATGCATGTATTACAATGACTTATTATTCATATAACAAATACCTGGATGTTATAAGAACAACATCTATTGGCAACAATTATGAAGTACAATTTAGCATTCAAAAACAAATCATTGCAAAGAAATTTGAAGAGACATTAGTGCATAAATCTAGAGGTAGTACAAATTGTGTGTTTGTTAAAGTCAAAACAATAAAGAGCTGACAGCTCAGCAGCAATAAAGCTGGCTAGAAGAAGAAGAAAGCAAAAACAATTGCTGACTTTTTTTTTTACATTTTGATTGAACTCTTACTTGCTTTGAGAAAGTTTTCTAGCCAAATATTCTGAAAATGTTGCTTATGTCTTTCAAGCTTCTATAGCAAGCTCATTGTGTTTGTGTCAAATCTTTTGTAGACTTGAAAGGTGGGGATTTTTGAGGTTTTTTTGTGCTGCCTTAGGTATTCAACAAACATAGCTCATAGCTTGAGTCAAATTTCAAATTAAATTCCTGCCTAGATTAAGTTAGCAAGCTAAGCAGTTTGTACCACTTAGCCACACATTCCACATTCATAATATCAAAATTGTATCATTTTCTGGTTCAAAATAAAAGGGTAGATTGATGTAAATGTAATTAAGATAAGAGTCTGTGACTTCAAGTATAAGCTTCTTCCTTACTTTGATGTACTAAAGTAGTTTTGAAATAGTAAAATGGTGTATAACAATAATAATAACCCTACTTAGATTGTCATTTTGTATACTGCACAACCCAATATTTTTGGTGACCTCTGAATTCACCTTTTCACCAATAAATGTTAAAAGGAACCCATCAGTCTCTGATTTGTCACATCTATTTTCATGTAGAGGTTTTAATAAGGGAGTCATGTCTTTATTTTTCTACCAATTTTTTGGATTAATGGAACCACATGATAGTGAAATATTTAAAAAACAAGAATCCCATCTTTTCTGTTCATATACTAAGTATTTAATCAGTAAACAATATATTAGGAATATGTTGCAATTGCAACAAAAATATATAAAAATAAGATAAGTTAGAGACATCCATAATTTAAGCAAAACTGGACATTCTATTTGCAATAAAAATCTGTTATAAAACAATGTTGATTATTGCTAATGAGAAAACGTTGAGTTAACAACTTATGGTACAGAGAATTATTTGCTACATATCTCTTCAAAATATTTGCATTAAAGAGTTAACAAGGTTTTTTTAAAGTCTTCAAAGGATATACAGTGACTTTGGCTGCAATCAAAAACTTGGAAAATATCCAGGAAGTCTTGATCAGACAAATGATAGCCTAACATCACCAGGGATTTCTTCAATTCATTCTCTTCAATGAATCCATTATGGTTCAAGTCAAAGAATTTAAAGGAGCCTCTCAGAGTTTTAAACTTTGAAAGAAGCTGTGAAAAAATGTTTTTAAAAAAAGATACAATAATCATTCATCACATTCAATGTTGTATTAAGTAGTTATACTAGAAGTTTATTATTACTGAATAAGTATTATAATTTCTACTTTTTTATAATGGCTAGTTGGATATGTCTTAAGTGTTTTGCATTATTGCTATCATAATCCTAAAATTAAACACTGTCTGCTTTCATCCCCAGCCAAAGATTTTGATTAGGAAGTTGTAATCATTTGTAATATGAAATAAAAAGACATGCTGTACTTGCAGATGTCAAAATCCTCATTAAACAGAACTATTTATTAAACTCAAATAATATTGAGCTTTTAAAGGCTTATTTTTCATTATTCATTTTGTTTAATAAGTCAGAAAGCTGAATAATAAAACTAGTTGCTGATACAATTTGGAGCTTGAGCAAAAACAGACATTGTGATCTCCATCTTCACATATATAACTTGGCTTAATTAATTATCAAATATTCTCTATCAGGCTTTATATTGAAATGAACTTAAACTTGTTAGAACTAGAACATGTATTAAAAGGAGCATAATTTTACCATGAATTTTAGCTCTGACAGGAAATCATAAATGGTTATTGCCAGAGAAGTTGGTCCTGCCTGAATAGAAAAGAAAAGTAATAAATAGATGGATTTACCTATAAATTAAAGAATAGACTTTAACAAAGTTGGATATCCTATATCAGAGATTAAATCTTGATGATAGTATGATAATTTCACCATGCTACATTTTAGATTTAACTATTTAAAAAAGTATTTTCATTAGCAATTTTTATCAACTATTAGTGATGGAGGATGGAACTAGCTATGTTTGAAAGAAACGTACACTGAAATAATTAGGAAATTTAAAATAGGTAAAAAATCTAATAAATGTTTAGCAATATGAAAATTTAAGGACATACAATTTTTTAAGGCAGAAGGCACCGCCTAATAAATAATAAAAACAGCTTGATAAATGCCAGAGCTAGACTGCATATATATTAATAAGATCAAAAGGTGAAAAAAAAAATAATTTCAGGAAGGAATAGTCATATCTATTTCTTAAAGGTGATTGGGAAGCCACTTCTGATTCTTTCAACAGACCATAGCACATCTGTCTGGTTTTTCTGATGGCATCAAGGAATTAGATAAGAACTTGATATTATTCATTGATGTCATATTCTTTTTCTATCTAAGAGTGCTGAGTACAGGTTACGATATGACAAAGTCCCACGCTAATGTTCAGTAAAGTATGTTAAATAGTAACAGTAGAGTTTTCACTGGGTATAGAGGCTAAGTAGTAATTTTGTGCTATGGATATTATTATTATTTTCATCTGAGTGATCTAA